AACCGTAGGCCTTACAAAAATAGAACTTCTTACATAAAAAATGATGAGGATTTAATAAAAAATGAATAAATATATGTAAAAGATTATTATTATTATTATTATTTTAATTCGATTACATTTTGGACACGCAAACCAAATTTTAAGCAGAATATAGTTCACAAAATGCAAAATCATTAATGTATTCATTTATTGTATCCTAAGTTAATCCATCAAAATACATTTTGATAATTATAGCCTGTGGCTAAAATGTTAACATTTTATAGTAATAGTCTAGTGCCTATTAAAAAATATAAACATTTCAAATGAAATAGTTAAAGAACTATTAACAATTGATTTTTAAAGAATTATTTTCATTTATTAATACTCCAAAAAGAAACAACTGGTGTTCAAAACTATAGAGGTATGTAAATTATCAAACCAGATTTTAAAATGCAATTCAACTCTTGTCAAAAAAATTATATACTTCGTATTGCCTACATATTTTAATTTAGACATAATTTCTATTTTTCATATAATAAAATTAATATTATATTTTTATCAAATTAAATCTGCCAAATTATTAATTGTACCTATATTTAGTTTGTTTATGTATTTTTATTGCATATATTTTCTTATTGCATACTTGAAGATTCGCTTTCTCTCTCACAGAAAAAAGTTGGTGGGTGAACCGGCTTCTTAATAAATCACACAAACACACGCACACTAATAAAACTTCTGCTTTCTAGTTCCAACATTCTATAATACTTAACCTAAATTCCTTACATGTTTTACAACAGTTAAATTCTTTATATAATTTTATTTCCTCGAATCTTCATTTTTTTTACTAGCATGTTAAATAGGTATGTTTATAAATTTATTAATTATTACCTATTCATTTTGTTTAATATCTCGAGATAAAATGTTTTTACGTTTACCTTTATGACAAAACCATATATGGTCGGAATTCCATAGACTAGGAATTTGACGGAAAGTTGGTATTAAAGGAGTTTAGTAAAAAAAATACCTACTAATAATAGTTGCCTATAATGCAAATAAAGAAAACAAAAAACAACAGTGACGCGTAGACACAGTTGATTTTGAATGGAGTAAGAGAGGAAAACTTATGGACCATTAAAAGAATTGTATCGCATTCCTATTTTGGTGKTCCACTGRAGAGTTTGGGACATGAAAACGTAATTTACCATATGTGGCTACTAGTTGCACATAAGTAATCGCAATGCTGTTAAGTAACAAGTCACTTTTATGTGTGAATGTGTAAGTGTATGTGTGTGCACGCGCACGAGTGTGCGTGTGTGTAAACTGGTTATTTACTTAAAACATGTCAAGATTTTTTTGAGTTCAATGGTCGTGAATACACGTACACTCGATGGAAAATGCCCGGTCGATAGCAAATTAATGGATGAATATATTATGGGAGAGTAATTAATGCGCAACGGGTAAAGATTGGATTTTTATTATGTGTCGCGGGACGAACGGAGTTAAAAATTACGGCTACTGGATTGCAATAAACTAGTTAACTATATACAGAAGATAATGTATGAAACATGTGAATGAACGGGAGGTTCCTATTTTCAAAGGAATACCCGATTGCCCGTATAGATGCAGTCACAACTTCAAGTAGAGCAATATTATTACTTTTTAGTGACATTTAAACKATATTATACATAGATCACAAGAAACGTCCATACAATATAATATTGTTAATATTTTAAGTTGTATTATAATTTATTAAAGTAGAGTAGATGTAGGTACTAAAAGAAAAATAACATCTATAAAATTGAAAGTAAAACTGAAATTACAGTTGCATAACTATATAATATATTATAATGATATACTATAAAATATATGATAATACAACAATAACTACCTATATGTATTATACCTATATACTGAACTATACATAATTGTAACACAGCATGGTTGGCTGAACCTTTGTGACTAATTCGGTAAACATGTGCGAGACTAATCCAAGATYCCTTCCTTTAAAGAATTTTTTTTTTCGATTCTCTTGTTCCCAAGTTAATAGTTACTCCGACGGCTGGCACCTGCAGGTAACACATACTTGTTCATCGTTTCAAACAAATTAAGTTTTTACGCTATTTTCAATTGTTCTCCTAAATTACGAAGCTCTGCGTCCGAAGTTTCATCTTATTATTAACCATGCAGGAAAAAATGAATGCAGTCATTGTTACGATGTATACCGGATGTTGTTTTAACGATTAAGCTATTTCGTGAAGATGTGTACTTATTTTTTAGACTATATAAGTGTATACTAACTTATCAGTTATAAGCATAGCGATAATATATATATTATGTAGCCTGTACTTGATATAAAACAATGAATATATTAATGGTGATATTATAGAGACTATTGAAACTACTTAATTATATTAATTTATAATTTATAAACATTTTGTATAAGAATTTATTTAATAACAGAATATCAAATACTATAAGCATTAAAGTCAAAATATTCTATACTATAGAATGTATACTATAAATAATAATTCATGTATTTTGAACATATTCTTAAAAATGCTTGCGTTTTGTATACCTACTTAATCTCGTCCAATGCCGTCAATACCGTGGGAAATACGAGTTAAAGAATGGAAGAAATATTCGGTTTTTTTGCACAACGTAGGTATATCTGACATATTCGAAATCATACAGTTCTTTCGAGTTTCGAGTGGGGTTCTTACTTTCTTAGTGAATCGAATGAATTCTGGTTGACAAGTTTCTTTATGTTGTACCACAGTGTACGACATGTACAGAATGCGTTCGTCATTTCATTCATATGACCGTTTTTATATTTTTTATATTATTGGAACAGACTTTACATGTTATTTCCGATGTTACCAAAAGAAAACAGWGACACGCCGTACAACTTGGGAGGTTTTATACGCATTATAATATGTTATTGTTATTTAATCTGTGAATGCAATGTAATTTAWTATACTAGTCTTAAAAGTAAATTTGTTAACTTTTCAGTATAGGTAATAATGTATAGTGTATACAATATGATAGAATTATAAGAATATTATTATTAAATATTGTRATATTATATCATAATAATGAATAACTATGTACTTCTACACTATTTATTTAAGAGTTATGAAATACGTATATAAAATTTAATTGTTGAACACTATTATTTTTGAAACTATAATTATCGATGTCTATCAWGAGAAGGTTAAAAAATCATAGCTGATCAAATAACACATACAATTGTTTAACATTTATTCGTAGATTTCGGCAAAAAAATGAATAAGGAATCGCCTGCACAGCATAAATAACAATGGTACTTTTATATTTCTCAAACTCCTCGTTTTCTCCAAGCGATTTGCTCTTCTCATTAACTCATTGGAATACCTAAGACCACCCAAACCACAAATCACAGTGTGCCAAGATAACATCTACCTACGTATGTACGTTAAATATGCGCCAAATTAATCGGAGCAGTATAATAAATTAATAATAACATAAAGTCGTAAAATAGTAAAAATAAAGTTTTAACACAATGTAAAACACCCGAAGGGAATGCGTTCACAGTGTAATAGCAACATGTTCTTTCTTATTTTTCTTTTTTTTTTTTATTATGCTTGTCGTTATTATTTAAAGTGTTGCTCGTGCAGAGATTCAAAAGATAGAGCGGCCATCCTACGCAGAACTACAGGAGCGATCGGTATCGTGCGGTGAGTCGAACTCTATGGTTGTAAAAATTTACGTTCTCATATTATATAGTTTTCAGATTAAAAGCGGTTGAACGTATATTCCACCGATGCGTAAAACTTGCATGGATCTGGTGCAGTCGCTGGCAACCTATTATTACGGTACACTAACTCCTATATACATTATATTATATTTATAGGATGAGTTGGCCAAGTCCCGATCATGRCAATGTATGTGGTATCATAGAAATTCATCAATGAGCATTTGTTCTCGACTTGTCAGAACTCAGAAGCAAGRTKATCTATATATTGTGATAAGTGATAACTGTAAAAAGTCCTGTGTTCCGGCATGGATACGAATAAATGACACTGTATAGGTACTTACATATTAATAAATATTGTTTTATTTTATCATATCGCAATGTTATGAACCAGTCGCCGAKTAGGAAACAATTTATTATTTGAATACCTCTACGAAATTGATGGGCATATTATAATTCGCAACCCAAGCTTTTCTAATAAATGATTAAATGAACTGTAAAATTATTATTGCAGGAAATTATGAATATCATGAGTCCTCTTYTCCATAGCAACAAAGGAGAAATGGGTAGTGCTATGAGATTCCAGGGGAGGTACTTGGGTAGATATTGGCAACAACTGAGTGAAAAAAATCATGAAATTATTCAAATGCCCACCGAAAAACTGGTACATCAAATACTTCTGTACACTGTTATATAGATAAGGGAATGAGGATAAATGTGACATAATATGTTTACCTACATAATAATATAATATACAATAAAGTGTTAACATTAATTTCTTGATTGCACTTATMGATTTAATATTTATCAAAGCAAAAATAATGAAAAAACTGCCGCTAAAACCAAAATAAATTAATTTAATAATATTATTAATTGTATATTAGACWAATTAGTAAAGATAGTCAATTCGTTTTAAATGATTATCATTCTATATAATACACTAGTTACAGTGTTTTGCAGTGATGGCTWATACARAAGGTTTAGTATGCCACATGCATGGTCAAGTTTGCATTTACGGAATAGTGTTGTTCCGGATACATYTAACAACGGTGAAACAGACTAGATAATGGAATAAGAAATAGGTACAAAGACATTGCATCGAGATGGAGTGACGTTTGGCGATAAATCGATCAAAAGCCAAAGACACGACATTCACTGTTACCTCACCAGGTCTCATCTGCATTCAGTTATATTTCTCGAGTCTCGAGCATCCGGTTTTTACGCCCATGCGTATGGTGATCGTAATATTGATTATAATTTAGTATATAAATATATTATATTAAATGATTACCTGATTGGCGCTAGACATCTGGGTAATCAATCACACATCCATACAATTCCAATTGCCCATTGCAATATAATAGGAATTTATTGTAATCTAAAAATAAAACAAGTGTAAAAATTAATTACTAAACAGGATTTACAATTGAATTTGAAGTACTCGAGCTTGTTACTATATAATTTATAGCCAATAAAATATACTCAATTATCCTACGCAATTTATACAGAAATATACAAAAATTGCCACATTATTTATTGATATTTTTCTAATATTATCCTTTAATATATGTTTTTCACTCATAATATTTTTCATATTTATTCAATTACAACTGACATTGTAATGAGACTATGAGACAATATTTTAAAAGTAGAAAAATTTATAAGAACACAAACTACGAAATTCTTAGTTCTGTTTTTATGTACTCCTATAATGTTAAACACAATATATTATAATTTATAATATTATGTATATTTACACATAATACACACCAAAATTTAATTTTTACGTTTTTAAATTCTCAAATGTTTATAAATTATCTACCGTCATTCAGGTTGTAWCAAACCATTACCTATAATCTATATTAACATTGCTATAAAGAAACACCGCATTATTATAACACGGTCAGCAGACGCACCTGTATATTTGCATATCTTACGACCCAACGTCCACAGTATTAATTTATCACAACAACCTGTAGTTACTTGACTAATAATTAGACCTTTAGGATTCGAGATATTTATCTGTACATTTTTTCTCTTTCGCGTGCACACACACACACACACACACACACACGCACCATTATCTTGTAAATCCAGGGGTCGCACGTCGACTATAATAAATCATAATTATAAATCGTACGCCATATCATTATTCAATTATACAAAATACAGTTGACAAGAAGAAAAATGTTTTTAAGAATATCAGGAATAGAATATTCTTTTTCAGCGTTTAGATATAGTACTACAGTAGTCCGTAGTGTCCGTACTCCGTAGTAGTAACTTAAACAGTACCTACATTATTTAGTATATTT